CCGCTGCAGAAACCACTCGGCTTGGTGTTTTTATGGACAAGCGTCACTGCAACTGTATTTCAAGTACGCTGCCTAATGAGCTTTTTAACCACCTCCATATGGACTGTGCAGCGTCTAGACGGAGGGGCAGTAGTGGTGCTCACTGCTCACTGCTGACTGTATAGAATTCCCCCTCCCCACAACGAGCAGAGTTTAACCCAGGGCAAGCCTTGTATGCCATCGGGGACTCATAATAGGTTATTGTTTACCACATAGTGCACAACAGCACCCAAATCCAGGATGTGGAAATGATGAGGAACATACTTGTGCTGCGGATTTGGAAGTGATGTGATCTACTGGGTGGTTCTGGATTTCCTGCAGTTGAGGTGACCAATTCAACTACTTTCACAATTAACAGATTAATTAACTCTCACTGTGATTCATCTTGGACTCATGTCATTACTTTCAGGTCTTAGAGGTATGGTAGGGGCAAGTGGTAAATTTTAATTACAGCAAGAAAAACAGAAAAAGGGTCAAAAAAGAAAATAACACAAAACAGAATCGAAAGCATTTTTGTCCAATGGTCCAATCAGATACTTTTAAAATTAATTTCTTGGTGTAATTAATTGGTAAAATAATCCATCTGTCTATTTGGCCAATATAGATACTTCAAAGATGATTAAAGGTAATTAAAGTTAGTTGCTGATAATCAGACATAATGGAGTATCATGCATGTGGACAGGCAGCCACAGAAGGAAAAGACAAACAACAAAATAGATAAAAAATGTAAAAAAAGAAAAGCTAAAGCAAGAAATTTGCAAAATTTCAACAAATTTTGAAATAACAGTGACAAGCCAGGCTTCGTATCAAACAAACAAAAATAGATATGATCAGAAATTAAACTTCTAAGATTTTTCTCTTAACTAGGTATAAATAATGAAAAGACAATGATAAAACCATTACACATAGGTTTAGACATGATAGGCTGCCAGTACCCGACCAAACTGTGACCCCTCATCCTGAGTGCACATAAGTGACAGCTGTCATAAGCATTAGAAAAGATTAAGCCTGATCTACTCCAACGTATACGCTTCCTGTAATCTTTACAATATTCAACAAAAAGTCAAAACTGTGTATTTTTATTTGCTATTTTACAATATAAAATGTAGCCAATGCAAGAATTGATAGTTTAAAATCTTGCTGATTGGAAGTGTGGGATTAAACTACAGTACAAGTGTATTTTTCTTTCCTGTATTAATTTTAAACATTAAGGAATCCCATTTGTCAGCTTTTGTGATACTATCTCTTTTAGAATTCATCACTCTGGCTTGATCCCTGGTATTAACACTCCGGATGTCTGTAAATAATTTGGCATGGCCGATCAGTCACAAAATGAGGTAAAAGCATTTGTTGCACTGGTTTATACTAGAGATACACGAGCAGATTAAGGCTTGGGTGCATTAGTGGATTATGTGACAGTGTTTTTCCGGTTTTCAAGATGAATCGTGCAACTCTCCAATCGAATGCAATACTGGGATTATTGAAGAACAGTTTGCTTTACTTCCAAGTGATAGTGAAACTAGATCTATAGAAGTGAAGATACTCAATTTGAATATTGAGAAATTATTAGTTTTTTGCTATTTGAATTTGTTTGGCGGTTGTGTCCAGAGCAACTGCTTATATGTTAGCCTTGTGAGCAAGCTGCTACTTTATACAGAGAGATGTGAGCTGTACTAAGTGGCCAAAAGGGAGAGGTTTGGTGCCATCTAATACTGATGGGAGTCATTGGAACAAGAGCAGTATAAGTATAAGTATACGCAACTTTACAATAAGTTAGAAGTTATTCATATAAAGTAATAGCAATCTTGTAACGATCATGGATTCACGTAGTATTCAGTATTGGTTTTGAATTATTTATGAACAACAATATTTTGTCCCTGTGTGCCTTTTACATCTGTAATTGATCGCTGCACAAGAGTTATAGTAAAGTTGTAGTAAGTCTAAATTTCCTACATTACTATTCCAAATGTTATAACTGTTATAATTACAAATTGAATAACTATAGCAACATGTTTTCGGTCTTATTTTTTACACTTTTGACCTGCTTTGCTGTTTAGCTGGCATTGGTGTTCACATTAAAAGATTTTCTGACGAGGATTTGTTGAGTTGCACAAGGGGTCCAGCGCATGATCACCATAGGTCATTGGGTTAAGAAGGTATTCCTACACCATCCAATCCGGAAATGACTGATCTGAAAGCATGTGTGAAACAGAAGCGATCATTTTGCAGCTTACAAATAGCGACTGGAGAGGATGTGTGAAGAATGAGTAATTTAATCACCTAACTGCTAACACTGTTGTCACTAAAGGCCTCGTGTTGAACCTAATGTATGCAGGGCTTAACAAAGGCAGGTGAACCCAGTCTCCCTGTCTTGAGAAGTGTGATGTAGAATTACCTTGATGTGATGTTATTTTTTGTCTTTTGCAGCAAGTACATAGTGTGCTGACCTGAATGGGAGCCAAGTGTAAGACATGAGGTCATCGTCTGGGTGTTGGCAGTCAGGGCCCATTTCCAGAGAGAAAGTGACAGCGTGGTCGCAGGTGAGATGAGAGAATGTCATTACAGGACTCGCCGTACCTGTCTGCTCCTCCACTGCTCCTACATGTCCCCACTTCTGCCGCACCTGCAGCAAAATACATCTCGCTCATTTCCTAAGTCACAGATGTTCAGAGTGTATATGTTAGAATATAGGTCACTCCGCAACTTCATTTACAAAAGCACACATGCTCAGAAAGCTAATTGATAAAAAAAAAAAGAGGTAGTGCAAACTATATTTAAGAAGGACTAATACTTTAATGTAGTAGTAATAAGTGACAGGATTACAGGTAGAAGCGCTTTCATTCATGGATTTTGGATTTAACGGAAGCAGCAGAAATAGTTTTGTACTAAAGAGATGAATTTTGGCTACTTTAGGCAAAACTTATTATGTTTGAATAGTATTTTTTATTGTTTTCTCAAGCACCTTTTCAAAATGCTTTAGTTTATTTCTGTATATGATGTTTTAATCTTTTTCTTACAGGGGTGATAAAAGTCAAGTAGCTCTTTAAAGCTGTGTCTGCTTGTTTATGCTGCGCTGCCAAGCCCTTATCCCCATGAAGACTTGTGATGAGTTGCTACTCAACCAGACTGCCTGACCTGGGACTACATTAACAACCTGTAGCCATGATGTTTGCATCCTCACTCATTCAGTACAAGCTCCAAACTTGTCTGTGTGAACCTCAGCCCAGCACCCCCTTCAAGGTCACCCCCCCCTTTTTTCACATCCCACCCCCTTCACCCTCGAGCTTGTGGCACAAAAGAACTATGCAGCCTAAAGTCACAACAGCTCACCAAGAACAAAGCAAATATTGAATGTTTGTCTCTCTTCCTTTTTATGGTAGGTGGCAACTTTGTATACAGCAAACAGGTTAGGGGCTTAGAGCTGAGAGAAACCCACAAATTCCAATCTCCAAGAAAAGCAATTAAAAGTAAGAGTTGGCGGTTTTGGTACACAAAAATACAAGCTGAAAATTAACATTAACCAACAGTGTTTTTGTTGTTTTCCAAACTGTGGTGGAATAATTTGTCATCCACATTGCTCTAACAGGACAAGGTTGGTAAACACCAGAATATGTGAGTCAATCTGAAACTAAGAAATAATCTCTTCTAATGTTCCAAGAATACAAAAAAAAAAAGTATCTCAAACTGCACAGAGGGCTGCATTTCAATCAAATAAATGTAACATATTGTCCAATTGTAGTGAAGTTAAAAGAGGACATGGTGGTGTGTCTTTTGCCTTAATCGATAGTCTTATGTAGAACTTCATCTGAAAATGGCTATAATGGGAAGAATGACTTTGACAACTACCTCTCTGTAATTGCCATAGCAGACTGCCAAGTATGTGACTTGCTCAAAGTCTATATAATTTACATAAAAGTACATACAGAAATGGAAGTCTTAAAATGCCTATGGCATCTTTATGAAGAATTATTATTTGAGATACACATTTTTGTCTTGATTCAAAATGATTTAACCATTAAGCATTTCCTATAGGATGCTGAGTAGCTTCAAGTGTGGGATTGTTTAAATTGTAGCCACTAGAGGGATACATAGCCTATACGCCTTCCAAACTCAGTAAACACCATCCTATCACTAGCCTATGTGTGCCATAGAGAGAATTACCGTCAGTGAGAGTTGCCTACCTGTGTGACTTCCCCCTTTGAAAAAACACTCACATAGAGCCCCGGAACATTTGAAACATGAGTTGTTCTTAAAAGACTAAGAGAGGAAGAAGTGGCTCTAAAGCGGACGAGGACCTCTGCGACTCAGCTCCAGGCAATCAATGAGGACCGCGATGCTTATACTCTGCCCATCTTCTTCCTCTATTTAAACGCATATCACACAACATCTCAACTTTTTTGGTGCTAAAACGAACTTTGGATACCAGGTTTCTTTTTTCCACACACTTTTCTCACCCTTCTGATTTTGTGTAATAAATATAACAGCTCATTTTATTTTTCCTTTTGAATGGATTATAATATGTGCCATTTCTTTCGCGCTTTTACGCATGGGATAAGGGAAACAACAAAAAGGTGTGACAAGAGCCTGGCGGACAACTGTGGATTTCTGCGAGTGAGTTCTAGCTTCCAGAGGGGATGAGGGGGGCATTGGCCGGACCCCCCTCTTGATTGATCACTTATTAGTCATCCCTTTGAGCTAAATGGGACCCATAGAAAAGGCACCGTGGAAGATATACATGAATCAAATATTCCCGTGTCCCCTCAATGTTTCTAGAGTAGTTTTGCTCAAGAGAGGGGGTCGTGGCTTGATATTGTAAAGAGGAAAACAGCATAGCTTTATGAGTTTATTTAGACACTTTGGACCGTTTAACATTCTGACGCTGTAAAACTGAAGAGGATTTCCCAAAGAAGATTTTTACGCTAGTCTCTTTATTTTTATTTTTTTATTACATCTTTTGCAAAATGAAACTTTGGACTTTTACCTGGGTGTCTTGCCTGGTGATTCTCATCTTGTGCTTTGGGTCAGAGTGTGGAACAATTAGGTTGAAAGGAAGATCCAAGAGGGAGCTGGTGCGCCTCAGGGAGGCAAAAGCTACCATCCCGGGGTCTTGTGCCACTCGCCTGCCCCGGGGCAAGCGCTCCGTACCCGGGGTGGAGAGGAGGCTTGTGCGCCAGCGGCGGCGCACCTCTCAACCCGAGAATAACTCTCTGGAGCGCGGGGGTAAAGCGGTCTACTTCACCGGTAGAGGAGACCAGCTGCGCCTTAAACCAGGCGTGGAGATACCCAGAGGAAATTTTACTCTTGAGATGTGGATCAAACCGGAGGGAGGTCAACGATCACCCACTGTAATAGCAGGTACATCTACAACTTCAAAATGCGTTCTTAAATCAAGAACTACCAATTACGCGTTTTAGTGATATTAATATTTCATGTGTAAGTATTGTTAATCAGTAGGTTACAGTTTCAGCGAGTTGAAAATCAGTTCATCTATCAGACTAGACAATGATGTAATGCTTTAAAAGTACAGCGGATACGTTAGGTAGTGCAACCTCAGTGGATCGTATATACAAAGTTTGTACTTTATAATAGAAATAATGGCTATTTATAGGAGTTATTTCGTTGTCTTTGGTACTTTGAGATGGTAATAGATATCTGAGCACCTCCATGCGGAAGGTCGGAGAGATAAAGCTACTGTACCGTTTGACCGGCAGCTGATGTCACTGTGCGTAAAATGTAATTTCTGTGAGCCGACTTAGCTATTTTAAAACTATGATGTAATGGTTGAAACTTTGTGAGAGAGCGCGTCACTTCAGGCACAAAGCCCCACTAGATCAGAGAGGGAGATCTTTCTCGAAGCAAATCTAGAGTGCCCCCTTTTTGAATTCACCTTTCGGAAATAGCGACAGGATTTCCCTTTTTGTTAACGTTAATTATTACATGAGCTGTGAATTTGGCACCCCAATTACAATGCGGAATATGCACTTTTAGATTTAAATGCGTAAAATAGCATTAATGTTTCTCAACTTTGTATAAAGGGTAGCCTATAATAATAACAATCCAGAATGAGAGGAGATTCGTTTTTCGAGATTTTAGCGTTATAAGTTACTTACATTTTTTTGCAGTGCTTTTAAGGCCTTAATTTTGTAAGATATTTACTTTGCATAGTTGGATCATCCAGCTAACAGCTCTTTTAATTGTGTGTTTAAGTGGAAGGGTTTGTGCTTTTTTACACGGTTACCTCACTTTGCCGACAGGGAGCGTTGCATACACAACTCATTGACTGCCACTGGAGCTGCGTAGATGCAGCTTTTTGAACTGAGCTGAACTCTTTCTCAGTCCCCAATTGTACCCAATTAAAAAAGAAAACATATAAACAAATTAGATATTTTGTCTACTTCCTTCTATCAAATTGTGTATTATCACTGAAATCAGTCCCTACAACATGTGGTTAGCTGCCATACAATGAACGGTGATTTCCTTATACCCAAAGAGATTTTAGAACATATAGAAAAACAGAAACAGAAAAACAAACACAAAATAAATAAATACATAAACAAATAAACAGCAGAAAAAGAAACACCACAGCACTGGTGAAATACTGTAGACCTAATATCAGTAAGAGTTGTTACTGTGATCCATATTTTACCTAGATTTACTCATGTTGTTAGTCAATTCAAGGAAGCAAATATCACATCAAATAAGTTCAATAAAGCTTAATTTAAAAAACAAAACAAAATCCAAAAAATCCAATTCAGAAATCCCAGAGGCCTCCACATTACATTTGTTTTGATCCTGTTTTTCTCTCCTCCAGACTCCTACTCTTCCCGCTCATAGTCAGACAATTCTTTCTGTGTTTATTTACTCAAATGTTTGCTGTGGTTTGAAAACATAGACTATATAAGTGACCTGCCACCACACAAGAACTCTGAGTTGAAATCCCAGGCCTGTTTGTGATCATAATTCCTTGATTCTGTGGTAAATGGGAAAAGGAACATTGTCTGTGTTCCATGACCTGTTGGTACAGCTAAATGCAGCCCTTAGCAGATATTTGGTGTGATAATAGATTGACTTTGCTGCTGTCATCATTCAAGACTTACAAAAACAAATGTAGCATGTTAAGTATTTGCTTTGCTTTGTGGAAAGGATTTTTTGTGAGTCAACAGGCATCAGGCATTACATTACAATCACTCACAATTACTGCTGATAACACAGCATCTCTGCACTGTGGCACCTGTGGAACACTTAGACTGAAGATGTGTTAGAGGCATAGTACATGTAAACAGTGGGGTGTAATGGTGTTTGTGAGGCTTTAATTGTGATGGTGTAGACGACTGGGTCTTCTTATCAGTATTTGGGCCATTAAAGTAAAGATTCAATCCAACAGACTAAAATTGTTGCAAATATGAAGGCCATAATAGCATTTTATAGATAAGCTACCACTAACACATAACAGTCAATATATTAAGTTGTTGTGATGTTAACTCTGAGAATAGTGTTTCTGTGTTTTGACATTTCAGTGGAATTTTCCACTGATTCAGAGAAAACTACCATAGTGGTCAGTGGACTTTGAATATGACTCCATTTCTTTAACTTAAGTAAACACTTTATTTGTTTCACTCCTCCCAGTGTTTTATCAACCTCTTGTGGCATTTTTATTTATGTGTGCATTTGTACTTTCATATTTCCTTTGGTTCTCCTTTGAACATGACATGAACCACTCTATTCCATACAAAGTGCAAATGCCTGAGGTGGAGAGGAGGCACAAATGTGTATAGTAAATATATTCATGTACAGGGTGTGAAGGTGCGAGTGTGTGAGCTCAACCAGTTGGTGCAAAGTCTGGAAGAGTGTAGTGTGTTAGATTAATTGAGCATGGCAGAATTATGACAGCTGTTTACACTAGGAGCTGTTCAAGCATTTTAGCACACCTTTTAGCCTTGAGTGCACTAGCCAACAGATGGAGGGCTTTTTTCCTTCCAGTGTAGTGGAAAGCCTGAAAACGTCATCCACCAAAGGACTGACCTTGATGCTGAACCCAACCCTTACTCTTTGAACATAAGTCCTCTGAAATACCAAGTTAATGAATGCATGATGCACTGTGCATCTAATTAGAAGTGGATCAGAATAAGCTAGATGCCCATGCAATCACCATTAGCCAGTTATTTATTGCAGGCTCAGGTGTACTCTATAATCGATTTGCAAAAAAAAAGCACCCAAAGAAGCAATTTTAATCTGCTGAATAATTAGTCTGAAACAATGTCAAATAGCTTAAAAGAAACAATTTATGACATCTAATAAAGGCACAGAGCTACATACCATTGTCTCTTTTAAGAAATGCTGAAACTGGGAGCACCCTGCCTAATCTGCACATTTGGGATTGTCCCAACATGGTCATCAAATGCCTCATACTGACTGTTGCAAAAACAAAATGTTAAACTTTGAGAACAAAATGTCCACGTGCTCATTTGTGTTCCACCCTTCAACAGGTGCAACCGTGAAAAGATGCGCTTTTCACTTCAGCCATCAGAGGTCCTAAATGCTTAGCTTGTGTTTGCACAGTGGTTTACACGTTTACTAATTTAAGCAATAAAGTCTTAAAAGTGACAATAAGATATTCAGCTCTGGCCCAGATCACCTGTTAGGTATTTGAAAGAGCTTTGGAATCTTAGACCCCAGCATACGCACATGTACAAAAAGTGCGGTGTATTACCACAGGTTCATGCACATGTACTTCTGACAAGCACAAAGCAAACAAACAGTTAGCATTCAGAGATCCCCAAGAAGTGAAAACACATTACCATGCTAGACCTGACCAACGCGGTCCAAGTGAAACAGGAAAAAGGTCTTCTGGTGCCTCTACAAAAACATGATTTTAGCAGAAAACTAGCTGTTTCTGGCTACCCTTCTGGCATCGGACGTTTACATGAGCAACTTTAAATGCTCTCTGTGTTCACCCAAAGGCCATGTTGAGAGATTTCCATGGGGTCTCCCATATGTATGTAAACATGCACTTCAACCCGATTTCCAGGACAGTTATGAAAGATCACATTATAATCATATTAAACACATTTCATCCCTGCCTGTGTAAACAAAGTGCATCAGTCCATCAGATGCATAAACTTATTGCCAAGTGAAGAAATATTTTTATGGTACAAATAAATCAATCTCCCAATTTGCTTTATAGCCATTTGGGTCACATGTTACAGTACACACAGGAATTCCCAATACTTTGGGCCATAAAACAGCATAATACATAAAAATATTAAAATGTGGACAAGCAAAAAGGAACTATAAAATTGTATTGAAAATTTAAACTGGTATCAGAGTGCTTATATAGTAGATTATATGTCCAGTTAGTTTTAAAACTAACAGTTTTAAGCGTGTTATGTAAAAGTTATGTTAAAAGTACCAACATTAAAATTGAGGCTGAAAAACTCTATCTGGGTATTGTGTGCATTTTGCTTTTGTTTCATTTAATTTGCTGTCAGTAGGGCTTTCATTGTAATACTAAGACTAGCCATTGGAGGAGTTGGCGCTATTTGTGACTGGTTGGGCTTCTCAAAATGCTGTAGAAGAGTGAAATCAAATGTAAGTAACCTATTTGTATTGGGTGAAATCATTCTTCTCTTGCAACCACGATGATCTCAACCCATCGAGGTAACTATGTGAATGTAGTAGGGCAAGACAAACTTTAAATAATACTCCGAAACAAACAAAGCTCTAATGGTAGTGGCGCATTAACTTTTACAAAAAAAAAAACAAAACAAAAAAAAGATTGCAGATGTGATTCCCAGCTTGTAATATCCTCCAGAAAAAAGAAGAAAGTGATAAAATAAAAAGTACAAAATGCAATATGACATCTATTTTTTTTTTCTTTTTTCAAATTATATACCTTATGTTTATGTGAAGTTGCCCAAGAAGAAGTCCAAAGAAAAAACAAGGAGGACATGTTGGTTTGAGAAAATCGGTTTCAAAACTGAGTTTGAAATGTTTGCATTTTGACAACACTATTTAGACTCTTTGACTGTATGTGGTTAAACATATGATTTTACAGATTTGAACTATGTTACACATTCATTTTTAGTTTGTCATAAATTTTTCTTCTACTGTTTTTATTACAGGCCTCTACGACAAATGTTTCTATGCTTCCAGTGACCGAGGATGGCTGCTTGGTATTCAGGCAGTCAGTGAATATGGAAATCGAGACCCACGGTTCTTCTTTTCCCTTAAAACTGACCGTGCACACAAAGTGACCTCCATTCACTCCAACGCTCGCTATGTGCCCAATCAGTGGGCCCATGTGGCAGTCACATATGATGGCATCTACATGAAACTTTTTGTTAATGGCGCTCAGGTGGGCGTCAGCCGGGAGCAGTCGGGAGATGTCTTTAGCCATTTGACCAAAAAGTGCAAAGTACTGATGATTGGAGGAAATGCCCTAAATCATAATTACAGAGGGGCAGTGGAAAGACTGGGTCTTTGGAGGCATGCCCGAGGACAGAGACAGATTATCAGAGATATGCAGGCCCAAGAAGACCCCTTAGATCTACCTCATCTCGTCATCCGTGAAACCTTTGAACACCCAGGACGAAAGTGGCTCACTGTAAAAGATGGGAGTTTTCCACAACCTGAGCACGGAGGTGTGGGGCGGGTTGGTGGTATTGGATGGGGTGGAGTTACCAATGGCGAAAGTTTGTTAGACATAACACTTGAGCCTCCCCCTTGTGGTCAGACTGTTTGCGATAATGTGGAGGTCATTAAAAACTTTAACCAGCTTTGGACCTTCAGACGTCCCAAAAAAGTTCGCTATCGAGTGGTAAATATTTGGGATGACGCACGAAGACGACCAACTGTAACGGACCATCAGATCAGTCTGCAGCACCAACAGCTCAATGATGCCTTCAGCCCTTACAACATCACCTGGGAACTCAGCATCCACAATGTGACCAACTCCTCTCTCCGGAACCGCTTAATCCTGGCTAACTGTGACATTAGTAAAGTTGGCGATGATGCGTGTGACCCTGAATGTAACCATCCTCTGACAGGCTATGACGCAGGGGACTGCACATCGGGACACCGAGGCAGATGTCCTGAACACAAACAGGGCAACGGCATCTGTGAGCCAGAGTGTAACTGGGAGAACTTCAACTACGACCACGGCGACTGCTGTAACCCCGCTGTGACCGACGTGACCAAGACCTGCTTTAATCGCTCATCTCCCCACAAGTAAGACCACCATCTCTTCTTTTGCTCTTCTTCTTTACAACTGTCTAAAAGTATTAACCTACCACAACATTCTTTGCTTAGATTTCTTTGCTAAATTATTTGGGAAACTTGACTCTCCATGATAGCCTCACAGGGCTTGGGTAAATCAAATAATTAACTTTCCCTGCATACATTCCAGCAGAGAGGATCTTGAGGTCTAGTCAAGCCCTACTGTTTCCTGATCATTTGGATGTGTAATTCAACTCTTAGCTTGTGTAGATTGGGAAATGCTCTTGGGAAATGTAGTCCAATCCATCCCTGGCCTGGTTCAGCCAATGTTCCACACTAAACAGGACAAATGTCATGAAAACATCAGGCCATTTTTAAAGAGTCTTCATTTGACTATCGTAATTGCTTACACAACAGCCATGACTAGAAAGTATTAATAACCCAACGGAAGATTAAGGTGCAGAAAATCCAAGAATAGCTAATTAACTTACACAGTGAAAATCCTTAAATATTCAAGCTATCCAAGAAACCACTGAGACAGGATGCTTGGAAAGGCAGGCTTTGGCCCTAGCCTTGGTTAAATTATTTATTTATATTCCAGGTAAATTGAAAGAGAAGATTATGCCTGGGAACACCCAGACCCCTTAACATTCATTTGTCTTTTGTTTGTTTGTTTTTCTGATCATTATGGTGGCCTTACAGTGATGAGTAAAATAAAAAAATGTACTTGTGGAAATCTTTGAAATGTAGATTTTGACAGTTCTCCAATGGAAAAAAGTTGACCCATTGAAATTCCTCTCTGAGGCATTTTTGTGGGCAGTACAAGGGGTCTTTACAGCTAGAGGAATGATCAGAAAACTTTTTGCTGCCCACAATATTTTGCAAAACATGGAAAAATGGGAAATGTGCAGCTTTATCTGGGTTTAAATTGAGGAGACTGTTTTCAGTCACAGTGTACTGGATTGACAGAAGTAATAGTTTTGAGTACTTAGGATAATAGTTATAAAGTGATCATTTTTTTCAAACAATTTCTACCATTGTATATCTGTGATCATTTTATAAACTGTTATTAAGTGATGGTTATATTATATTGTTCTATTATTGCTGATATAATAAAACACCAGCAGACCCAAAGGTGATGGAAATATGAGATTTACAGTGTAAAAATCAATTTAGTCTTCAAAAGTGGTTGCTTATTTAGCTTTTATTAAGGTATTTCTGTTGAGACGGTTGCAGAACAGCACTGAAAACATTTCGACATTCCTCCTTAATTATTGAATACTGGCTGAACATTGTAGTGAGAGGAACAATGACTGTGAGGTCCTGCATTTATTTTTGCACAGTTTGCGCCTGTTACCACTTACCACATGTTTCAGAAATCTGGCTCATCGTGCTACAAACCTCTCTCTTCTGAAAATACCATTGATGATAACTCCCCCTTACTTTCTCCACATTTGGCTGTGGGGAATATTTTGCATTGTTTTCACAGGCCTAGGTTTTGACGCTTTTTTTTTTTTTTGGGTTGTGGTGGAATAAGATGCTATCTGTGTGTTCAGTTCTAAGCACTGGGACTTCTAGCCTGGTCACTGACATTGGTCTGGAAGTTGGTCCATCTTCCAGATTGACTGGGGTGATGATAGTCTGTGTTTTGACACTTCCAAATGAATAAAACTAAATAAACAGAGGAGGGTATTAGGTTGTCCTGACAAAAGCATCTACCTGAGTCAATACCTCTAGATGTGGCATTTTAATGAATTGAGCACTCTCTTCTTTTACTCCCTCACCTTACCATTCTGCCACTCCTCAGGCCCTTGACTTGGGTGTTTTACAGTTGGTCGTCTAAACCTTAAGCCCCCATACCATAAAACATTATGGAGTGCTTGGGCGTAAATACCAGGACTTCCTCTTTAAAGTGGTAGCCCCCCCATAAATCCACCTGCTATCGCGGTTTCCACTGTCTGGACGGTCTGGAAGATGGCTCTGATGAAATAAGGATAAAAAAAGTATAAAACTCAAACAAAGGTGACAACAGCCAGGAGGTGTAAAATGTCTCTATAAGAATCTTGGCAACACAGGGTAGTAGCATGAGTTCTGAGTCAAGTGTCTATTATGGGAGGGAAATGCAAGTAGCAAGTTTGAGGATGAAAAAAGTGGGAGCTAGTACAGTAATAAAGTGGGAGATGAATGATGGCTTTACGGCCTTCTCTGTTGACCTACTCGATGACAAGGAAACTGCAGCCCCCCCACTGAATGTAAAAGTGTTCTTGGCTGTGAGACAGTCATTACAATGCCAACATAGTGCATGCTTCCAGTGTACATATGTGTGTACGCAGCACATTTACAACCTAGTGTGAGTTACATGCAGAATAGCTGATTTCATAATGTTCAGCTTAATATGTATCTGAAGTTGGAATATTAAAAGGGCCCTTCTAGCAGTTGTGTGCACTTCCGCATAACTTTGCAGCAGATGCTTTGACCATAGTGACGCTTGGCTTTATTTAGTGAAGCTTAAACCTACATTTATCTTCCCTTTCCTTCTATTTACTCTCCTTTATCATTCTTGTTTTAAGGATTTTCCCAGAACATGTCTAAATAGTGGAATGGTTAAATGCATGGAAAATCCTGTTCTTCCCAAGTGGCCCATCCCAGATGAAAAAAAAAAAATGTATGATGAGAAGTAAAAGAGGGAACCAGGGTTGTGGAATGGAGAAATAGTTGAAGGGCTATGAGTATCTTAATATTCAAATGGGGCTGAGGTTTTTGGTCAAATATGGTTGAACTGGATGCCCTGGATCATTCAATCATCAGCAAGAAATACTGATGTAATATAATATGCTTTTGCAAACAATACATTAAATAAGTGGACTTTACAATATTATTCGGTATTTCAAATTTGAGTAAACACTAAGAACACTTTTTCCTTCTTTCCATAGGGTAGGTGCTGGTCTCATCTGTTGCTGACTAACTCTTTTGGCATTAACTCCTCCCGACTTGTGTATCCCAAGCCTCTGAACAAATATTTTCAGTGGAAATAATGAAATTCCTCAAATCCTTCCAAAAACGTCCTTATATCATGTACTCCAGCCTTTTCTCTTGCATCAGTGCCTTAGTGAGTGCCCCCAGTTGATTTTACAGAGGCTTGACAAGAAAGTCTTTATTCAAAACGGCTGTTTTAAAGGAATTTTGCATCTTAACCAAGCCACCCTTTTATCCAGCCGGACTGTTATGAAACATTCCGTGTGGCTGCATATGAAAAGTACATTGGTGGTAACCGTAGAAGGCTTGTCACAGGAAGACATTTTTTACTTTGGTATTATTTCAGAACACTGCCAAACATCAGTGTTACAGTCACTGAAGAACCTTCTTTAGGCTACATTAAATACACATATGGACGAGGATTTTGCATTTCTTCAGGAACTGATCTGTTCTTTTCATTTACAATGTTAATAGAGTCTATTCATGATATTGGGACATTTCCTATAAGAGTTCATCTTCGGAAGACATATCACATAGAACAATATTACAATTGATTTTAGTATTCACTTTAGACCATTGTCTATGGCTATGCAATGCACTATTAAAATATTCAATTCATATTAATATAAAAAGGTTGCTTTTTACTCACCTGTGCAAAATTATTTTGGTGCACGGCAAATGCAAGAACAAATTAGGTAGGCAAGTGGAAATGGGTCATTCAAAGTAGGTCAAAACTAAATCACATATGATTTGTTATAGTAGGATCGGTGTTATTTTGTTAGTGATAAATCTGTTTTTGAATGCAATGAAGAAGAGCCATCTAACACTTGAGCATATGTAAGGCATTACTGACTTGGTCCAGAGGATGACTGAGCTTGTGAAAGCTGTTTGCCAGGACCACCAGTCAGGCTCAGAGAGAGCTTGTGTTGAATGTTTTCATCAAATGAATGGCAGCCTCACTGCTGGAAAGACATCTCATTGTGTGAATGATTGCAGTCATTAGTCCTGCTGCTTAGTCCAAGGGCTTGAGACCAAATCTTCTATTATAGATAAGTATGCACAAGTGAAAAATCTGCCACAATACATGGGTCACAAATACTGTGCATAATGCCTCTGCATTAAGTGTGCCATTTAAGGCCAGTCTATATTGGCATTCATGCTGATGCCCACTTTCTATTTATATTTTACATCTAATTTTTGAATATAAAAAAATCACCTTGACTATGCTGGACTTTTCATCTCTCGCTATTGTCTATGCCAACACATGAAAAACCTTGCTTTACAGGATTTACAAATTGTATGTATAACTTAGCTTCAATTTAATCTGGCTCACTCAGGTGTGTGTCCCTTTTCTGCCAGTGAAACCAAAGTTGTTAGTAATGCATCACTGTTTTAGGCCTATCATTTTATTTTTGTCCTTAATTTCCCTGTAGAGCCTATTTGGATGTAAAGGAGCTGAAAGAGATCTTGCAATTGGATGGCTCAACTCACCTGAATGTCTTCTTTGCCAATTCTTCTGATGAAGATCTGGCTGGCGTTGCCACTTGGCCTTGGGATAAAGAAGCTCTCACGCATTTAGGTAAGAGACAAACAGGCACATCTGTGATTCTAGTCATTGATGGTAATAACAGTGCAGGCCTCAAGCCTTTTCTGCCTTTATCACATTTCCTACAATTACAACAAGGTGCTAATGAAGGCACATGAATAATGTGTAGGTACTACAGACCTTATGGACTCCACAGTTTGGACTTATGTTGAATTTACTTCATGCATTGTTTGTTATTATTTCAAGGTGGCATCGTGCTGAACCCGTCCTTCTATGGAACCTTTGGCCACACTGACACCATGGTCCATGAGATCGGTCATAGTCTGGGGCTCTATCATGTTTTTCGAGGCATATCTGAAATTGAGTCTTGTAACGACGCTTGTCTGGAGACTGAGCCCTCAATGGAAACTGGAGATCTGTGCGCAGACACCAACCCCACCCCCAAATTCAAAGGCTGCCATGATCCAGTACCTGCAAACGAGACCTGTGGCTCTCGGCACTTTAAAAACACACCGTTCAACAACTACATGAGCTACGCTGGTATGTGAAGGCTTTTTCCATTCTCTATCAAGATGAGTCCCACTATTGGGTTTTGACGCACACTAGCAGTAGGCTTTTCTATGCACAATGAAACCAAAGGTTACAGTCATAACTAGGCCTTTTAGCTATCTAAACAGATACATATCGTATTAAATAAAAACAAAGAAAACAATAGGGTTAGCCAGGTCAGATCCAGAGGTGTGAAAACACCCATTATGGCCCTAAATGGTTATGCTGTTATGACCCCACACTCAACTTCAATAGGCCTAGCTAACTAAAAGAAACTGTAAACAGATAGGTGTGTTAGTTTGAGAGTAGTTTCATTGTAGTTAGCTCCTCCCTTCTCCCAGATATAAGGAAGTGTCCTCCAGTGTCTGACCAGAACTGAAGAAGCAGCTTGAATGAGTTGTGAAGTGTATTAGACCAAAATAAAGTCTTGTTCAGTTAACAAATTTAATTTCTCTGTTTGCTATGGATTCTACCTGGGTGACTGAGGGATTTTACACATGTTCTCCTTTTCTTTTTTTCTTTTTTTTTTTTGCTCTCCAATGCTACAATATCAAATGTTTTTCTCTCTACAGATGATTCCTGCACTGACTCATTCACACTGAACCAGGTTGCCAGGATGCACTGCTACCTGGACCTCATTTACCAGACCTGGCAGACCACTTCTAAGCCCCCTCTTGTGCCAATGCCGCCCCAAGTTGTTGAGCAGCATCATAATTCAGTTACACTGGAATGGTTCCCACCCATTTCTGGACACTTTTACAACAGGTGAACGAGCTAATCTGCCACCTAAATTGAGATGTGACAGAGTTGAATTTTGCAAATACATCATATATATTTTTACAGAGAATTTCAAAATTTTGGAGTTAAGTATGTATCTAAGTTGGTTGTTGTGTTTTACTGTTGGTTTCCTAGAGAATTGGGATCAGTGTGTGATAAATGCACAGAAGGGGGGGTTCTGCTGCAGTATGCCTCCAACTCATCCTCTCCACGGCCCTGTGCCCCGTCTGGACACTGGTCTCCTAGAGAAGCTGAAGGTACTTTAAAACTCTATACAATAACAATGTTATTTGCATCATTATTTCACCTTTACTTCAGTGTAATCTAAATCTACAATCATCAAATGCAATATCATAGTGAAATGTTGATGGGAAATTATAAATAGAGACAAATAAGTTCTTATTTTGTTTTAATAGCTTTGATTAACTGTGCTTGAGCCAACTTGTATTGGTTGGTTGGTTAACATTATTAGGATTTCATGTGCTCAAGATGCGCTCTGTGCGAGGACAAGTCTGGGCATGTCTCTCAGGGAGAGTAAACTACTCTTTTCCCTCTTGGATGGAGACTGGGATAGAAGCACTAACTGTTGCCTGTTTCAGTCTGCATTGTTTAAAATTAACTATTTTAGCATCCAATTATCAGTGTATTTATTCTCTCAAAAACTTAGCTCATGAAAAATAAATAAATAGACACATTTTTCAATATGTTATATAATATGCCATATGCCATATCATTATTTATTATTTGGTTTAGATAACGTTTGTAACCAAGTGAACTCTCTCTTGAGTAGCTCCTTAATTTTCTAATTTGTGAAGTAATCTGGATTTTTACTGATGTTTTTATGTGGTTTCACATAATTGTACAAGATTCTACAGTAAAGCAGAGTACAGAGTAAAGTTTACTTAACCTTTGCTTTACTCTTACTTTACATCTCAAAATTGGTTACATAATGTTCTAAAATAGGATGAAAGGATATTCTCAAAAGTACAAAACTTAGTTGTCATTTTAAAGTGGACATCTTCTGTTGATTAAACTGGCAGACATTAAAATGTATAACCTAAGATTTGCTAATGCATATTATATGTCGACTGTCATCATTGGACTCAAAATGCCTGTGTGTGTTTTTATATCGGTACATTTTTTGCATAGCTGGATTGGCATGCATAGGAAATGTAGCGTGCATATGTTTTTCATAAGAAGCTGGTCTGTATAGAGTGGGTGAAACTTATGTATTTTCTCAGTATTTATAACAGCATTCATATGGGACTATATGTATTATTACATAAAGCAGCCAGTCCAACTCTATTGACATTTGAGTTACGCGCTCGTTAATTGGTCTTATCTGCAATATGACAAGTACACTAAAATCAAATAATGTTCTATTATAGCCTAAGTACTATGTACCAAAGAAAAACAAAACAATGTTACAAACAATTGTAGTGTGCATGGCCCACTTTCTTTAACTATGCGTTTATGACGTTTATAATTGGCCTGTTTGTACAGAGGCAGTGGTCATGTGGCAGAGCGGATGTGTGCTTCTGGTAAAAGTGTGTGAGACAGTGAGTTAAAACTGGACACTTCTCAGAATACATGCCCAGGCATATCCTGATCTGTTTTTACATCTTTCTCCCTGGACATCCTGGAAACTAAAGTGCAGTAACATCAAACTGCTATCTCTGACCAATAGATCATTCACAATATCAATACAGAACGCATTTCCAGAACCCCTCTGTGAAACTGAAGCATGTTCCTATGAAATGGTTTAACTGTTTACATGCTGTGTTGGTCTATTCCATAGGCCCTCCAGATGTGGAGCAGGTCTGTGAACCGAGTGTGCGCACCTGGAGTCCTAATGCTGGAATCGAGCAGGGCACGGTGGGCCTGTCCGAGTGCCCTCTGCAGGGCTGTATGCTTCAGCTGGAGTTCCCACACCCATTAGTCCCAGACTCCCTCACAGTTTGGGTGACCTTCTTTGGAGCCGAGGAAACAGCCCTTCCAGCCATCCACAACATACTGCTGCTGACGGTCAATGGGAACAACATCTCACTTGGTCCAAGCAATGTGTTCTGTGACACCCCACTGACTATAAAGCTGGATGTGGAGGAAAGAGTGTATGGAGTACAGATTTTCACCATGGAGCAACACCTAGAGATTGATGCCACCCTCTTGGCTTCTAAATCTGACTGCGAACTGTGCAGAAACTGTGAACCTCTGCGATATCGCCTATTGCGCCAGCCACCATTTAACCATGCACCCATGGGTCTGATGCTTAATGAACCAGTTCGGAGGTATACAGATAGGTAAGCAAGCCACATGATGAACATTTTATCTTCATTTATAAGAATAAAGTGAGAGTGAAATGGATAGCTTTGATACCCATTTTTTGTTGTCATTAGTGAAGTATTAGCAAAACTTAAAGCCCAGCACATGACACTAAGTATATGTGGGAGGAGGTGTTTTTGTTTAGAAATAGTTCCCAAAACTATGTTGTGTGAGTAGTACAAGATATCCTTTCCAGTCCCCCCCAGGAGCGTTGCTATGCCTTCAATACTTTTGCACTTTTAAATCTGTTGCCAAACATTTGTTTCCTAAGTCACAGGTCAGATAATGCCCACATGTGTTTTCCTCCCCAAAAGCAAGGGCAACTTGTATTGTTGAAAGTATTAACTGCACTGCGGTGAGAGCTTGGCACCTTTGCTTTCTGGGAATGTGCTGACTCAATACAAATTAGATTATATATGGCACTTTTGCGTGTTATGCCATGCGACTAGCATGCTGTCTGGGCCATTCTAATGATAGGAAAACTGCTTAATTGATAATGAGTATATATTTGACTAGAAATGAAGTTGCTAAATATTTCTCTTTTGGCAGCTTTCTGGTTAAACAACAAGAAATGTATTCATTTGTGGTTCTTGGTACACTTACTGATGTACCCAAGGTAGTTTTAGCACTGTGGTATATTTCACTAGCTGTGGTCACATTCCAGTGGTAGTGGTCAGTCGACAAGTATTTTTGTTTTGAGAGCGTATAGGTCTCCCGTAGATGCTCGGGGATACGCAGTGGAGTATGTATGTAGTGTTTTGTCAGATATATTATATATATAACTTGAGATGTTGTTGAGCGAAATTTCAGTGCATTCTGGTCAAAATTCACATCCAGATGTTCTGGAGTAGTCCAAAAGTAATGTAAAGTGGTCTGTTTGGCGTAGTTCCTGCTGCTGGAATGCATTGGTTGACCACACAGTGAGTCCAGCATGTTTCCATAGAGATGAATGGAGCAGAAAAGGCTTGAGGAAGGGGGTGACTGACCTCCCACTGTCAGGGCATCGGCCCATAGACTGGGGGATACTTACCATGAGGAACCATTGGCGTCTCGGCTCCCTTAATTCCATTCATTGGTGGTGTTTTTGGAATGGTTAAAGGGCTGGTAGGTCAGGGCGATAAGACAGCTGAAATGAATAGGTGTTGCTGGGGTGGAAGGTTGGACCTGATGGGGGTAAATGGTTGCAAAGCTGTAGAGGGCAATAGGTGATGGAGGAGAACATCAGGGGGTCAAGAAGGAATGAAGTGAAAAGGCTAGAAGGGTTGGGTTACCGTGACTCAATACCTCCTTAGTCCCATCCCAAGGGCTAATCCTGTGTCTGGTATGATTTTCATAGCTGTCACTAAGGCCAAACTTATCTTTTCTGACATGAAGAGACCCCCAAGCTCAAAGAAGTTAACTGCATGCCCTCAGATACTTTAACTCCATAGTTTGTCCGACTGCATGAAGAGTGTTTTCTTTCAGCATAAAAACAAATATTAATCATATGAAATAACTGAATCAAAGTTACTGCTTTTACCAAAGAAAAGTATATTGTCAAGTTTGTTGCTCTTCAAGTCCAATTTAAGTTTTTTAACTTCCTTATTATATCTGATTGTCTTACCTCAGATCTCTTCTCTAAATTCCCAAGGAACAAACTAGGAACTTGCATTGGTGGTGAGGTGCAATGTAAAACAATGAATAGTAATAGTAAATGTAAAGTATTTTAAAAGAGAAATAAGGGCATGAATTAAATAATGTAAATAAAAATAGTCTTTGATATACAAATACAAAATATACAGTATACAATAAAACTATTGGTGTAAGTACATTACGTAATTTTAGTTGTTTACAGTGATAGACAGGTGTTATAAAATGTTCATGTGTCCACTGGCAAGAGACGAGAGGTTCTAGTCCGACTGGACCATAGTCTCCTGCCCGAGGGGAGTGGCTCAGTAACCTATGAGCAAGCACCCACACATGAGCAGACACCCACTTGGCTCTCTTGGACATCCAAGACACATTTTTTCTGTACTCTACAAAGACCTAAAGTCTGAGACTGGGTCCTCTCTCATACAGTTCCAATGGGCAGTTATTGAGTGTAAATAAATTAACTTAGAGGGCATGTTTGCATATGGCCTGATGTTTCATATGGGCATGCCTGTTCAACACAGAAAAAGATAACTGTAGCATGAAGAGCTTTGGCATTCAAGATGTTAGATGATAGTTTTGTGGCCAACAGAAATATTTCATTCGGACCAAATGTTTCCATTAGTGAAATTAATTTTGTTACCTGATCCTGTTTGACCAGAAAGTAATTATAAACGAACTAATAATAATAAAACACACTTATCCATATTACACGCTTCCTCAGTTACATTCAGTTTTGCCCCGTTATAAAAATGTTTATCCTCCCAGAGTTTATGGCATCTTACAAATAACCTTCTTAGTTTGTAATAAAACCACACTGATACTAGAACAATGTGGTGTTTGATAGTCTACTGCAGTGCTGACTCTGTAGCAAACAGTCCATATGGCCTAGGCCCATGGTAGAACTGTGGAAGTACCTGGTCTACAGAGAAGTATCAATTGCTAACTCACTGGTCCCCATTACCCATCCATCCATCCATCCATTTTCGTCCGCTTATCCGGGGCCGGGTCGCGGGGGCAGCAGTCTAACCAGGGACTCCCAGTCTTCCTTCACCCCAGACACGTCCTCCAGCTCCTCCGGGGGGACCCTGAGGCATTCCCAGGCCAGCAGAGAGACATAGTCCCTCCAGCGTGTCCTGGGTCTTCCCTGGGGCCTCCTTCCGGTGGGACATGCCCAGAACACCTCCTGAGGGAGGTGCCCAGGAGGCATCCGGAACAGATGCCTGAGCCACCTCAACTGGCTCCTCTCGACGTGGAGGAGCAGCGGCTCTACTCCGAGCTCCTCCCGTGTGACTGAGCTCCTCACCCTATCTCTAAGGGAGCGCCCAGCCACCCTGCGGAGGAAACTCATTTCGAGCGCTTGTATCTGCGATCTCGTCCTTTCGGTCACTACCCAGAGCCCATGACCATAGGTGAGAGTAGGAACGAAGACTGACCTTTCGGCTCAGCTCCCTCTTCACCACAACGGTCCGATACAGCGACCGCATCACTGCCGAAGCTGCACCGATCCGCCTGTCAATCTCACGTTCCGTCCTCCCCTCACTCATGAACAAGACCCCGAGATACTTGAAGTCCTCCACTTGAGGCAAGGACTCTCCACCCACCCGGAGAGGGCAAGCCACCTTTTTCCAGTCGAGAACCATGACCTCGGACTTGGAAGAGCCGATCTTCATCCCAGCCGCTTCACACTCGGCTGCAATCCGCCCCAGTGCACATTGCAGGTCCTGGTTCGATGAAGCCAACAGGACAACATCGTCTGCAAACAGCAGGGATGAAATCCTGTGGTCCCCAAACCGGACCCCCTCCAGCCCCTGGCTCCGCCTAGAAATTCTGTTCATAAATACAATGAACAGAACCGGTGACAAAGGGCAGCCCTGGCGGAGTCCAACATGCACCGGGAACAGGTCTGACTTACTGCCGGCAATGCGAACACAGCTCCTGCTCTGGTCATACAGGGACCGGACAGCCCTTAGCAAAGGACCCCGAACCCCATACTCCCAGAGCACTCCCCACAGGACACCACGAGGGACACGGTCGAATGCCTTCTCCAAGTCCACAAAGCACATGTGGACTGGTTGGGCAAACTCCCATGAACCCTCGAGCACCCGATGGAGAGTGTAGAGCTGGTCCAGTGTTCCACGGCCAGGAAGAAAACCACACTGCTCCTCCTGGATCCGAGGTTCGACTATCGGCCGGATTCTCCTCTCCAGTACCCTGGCATAGACCTTACCGGGAAGGCTGAGGAGTGTGATCCCCTGTAGTTGGAACACACCCTCCGGTCCCCCTTCTTATACAGAGGGACCACCACCTCGGTTTGCCAGTCCAAGCGTACTGTCCCTGACCGCCACGCGATGTTGAAGAGGCGTGTCAGCCAAGACAGCTCCACAACATCCAGAGACTTAAGGTACTCAGGACGGATCTTATCCAACCCCGGAGCCTTGCCACCAAGGAGTTTGCCAACCACCTCAGTGACTTCAGCCAGGGTGATGGACGAGTCCGCCTCCGTCCCAATTACCCTTATTTCCAAAATCCCACCATTATTTAGCCTACCACAAACTCATCTGTTACCATGACTTTGGTATTATAAACTTAATCTGACTTTTACAACATTTTACATTATTATTTGTTAACAATTTTTATTGAATTTATGAATATATGAAACAAATGGATTGCTTTGGAGGATAAGTCATTAAGATTCTACACATTTTTTTTTTACAAATCTAGTTTAAACCTCTGTTGCTTGACTTGCCATGGTATTGGGTATTGATTGTGATTTCCTCTGTCAGGAGTTTCTGTTAGGTGCTTTTTATTGGTGCCACATGAATTGCATTAAAAGTTTGTGTTGAAAAAATTTAAATCTTCTTTGCATCTTTATGGATGTACTGACTAAGATTAGTATGTTGTGACCTGCTACTATTATGATCTCTTCCTATATTCTGAAGGATAAAAACTGAATTCTTTAAAAGCTCAATTAAAGTTGACTTCAGTAGTTAACAGAATCTAATTAATTATGAGATAAGAGCCCATATTTATTTTTCCCCTTTTTAATTATCATGTTTAAGTGGTGATCAAAATGTCATCAAATTTTTTTTAATTACAAAAGTATTTATTAATTGGATTCTAAAAAGTGATTGTTCTTTCATATTCAGGAACCATAAGCAATGGCGACATGGCAACCAGCCAGCACACATAATATAGCAGCCTCAGTCTAAAGCAGCTAATGGGACTCTGCAATCATTAACTTTACTGTTCACACCTGCACCGTTGTTTTTACGATATGTCAAAATTTCTACCATAAATAAAGTGGTTTAAAAAATATGAATATGGGAAAATATGCCTCTTACCTTCTGCTAACCTTTTAAGAGAAAGTGCATTACATATTTTATCAGTGTACATCAACACACACACATACTGGCAATTTAAGACCCAGGGCTCTGAAAGCCAAAAGACATACACGGAGACTGGGACTTAACCAATCACTCAAAGCCAAACTAATTAGCAGAGATGGTTATTAGTTACTGAGTATATTTTGTCTTTATATTGTATATGTTTATATATAAAACATAGGTCACTCAGCTGTTCTTGTAGTTTGAGGTAATTTTCATTTTCTTTTGCAATTGAGTAATTTTTTCCCCTAATTCCTGATAACACAAGAAACAGTTATTATCACCATTGCTTCCAGTTAATCCATAATCAAACTTTTTGTCTGCATCCTTCTTTAGGGATTTGATGCCAAAAGTTGTGTATACATATCAAGTCCAAACTGTTTCTAGCTGGAGTGAGAGTGAGCCCTCGCCACCGCTAGTACATCAAGTCGGGGCTCCATACTGTGGAGATGGCCACATTCAAAGGTACAAGAGAGACCAGAACTCAGATCAACAAAGTTCAACTCTTTCTATTTCCTTTCTATTTATTCCTCATTGTTTCAGTTTCAAAGGAGAGGAATGTGATGACAAGAACTCTGTGAATGGGGATGGCTGTTCTAGTCAATGCAAGAAAGAGCCCTTCTTCAACTGTGTTGGTAAGTTTGAGAGACAGAGATTGTGAACTATTTTCAGAATTTAAATATGTCATCTTGGATAAATGTAAATGATCAGTGGTATATCCTTGAGCTCAAGAGTGAAGTTAGATCTAAGTCCAAATCACAGAAAGAGCTCCACATCCAAAATAACAAAACAACCTATGGTGTAATATGTATAAATGACTGAAATGAACACTTGTAGATGTGAATGTGTTGGCCTATATACAAAATGGCTAAAGAGTCCAATGGCATCCAAAAGATAAAAGAAACTCCTTTGAGGGTAGGTTGGAGATTAAGAAGACAGATGGGTGGAGAGAGGAGTTAATTTACATTTCTGGAAATGACTGTCCCAGGAGACAGGCTCTTCAACAGTGTGCTGGCCCACTACAAAGTCATACTTCATCATCAGTTATTTCATAATCAAAATACAGGAAAATATAATTTTCAACTCCAGCTCAATTCACATTGTGCATTATAACCTATACCTTGAATCTTTGCATGTCCTCCCACTGTGGCTGTGTCCTTGGGCAAGACTCTCAAAGCAGCCTGCTTCTGGTGTCTGCTCATTGAAGTATGAATGAGTTTGTGATTGTGAATGGGCGAATAATTCCTTGGCGTATAGTGCGTTGATTTAGTGCTTATAGCTGTATTTTGTTTATTTAGTTAGTTTGTTTATAAGTGCTATGCGACTATTCCCTTTTTCTTCTTTGAATGGCTGGAGAGTGGTGTCTGTATTCAGTATGCCCCCTCAGTAGCCCCTCGATTCACTACTGCCAGAGCACAGAGCTGACTTGAGTTTTTGGCTGTGCAAAGAGGAGGGCTGGAATTTCGAGGAGGAGGCCCCAGCCAACTTGGCACAGAGTGCCGCCGTTCCCCCTAACGGGAACCCCAGTGGCTGACACTGCTGTAGCTGAGATCTCTGAGGCCGAGCCTTTCTCTGGCTCCTCTGCTGTGCTTCAGTCTACCAGCTTGCTATGAGTTCATATACCTTATACATTGATTTACATTGCCCTGCAAATATTCCACTGGCAGCCATTCATTAGATCTTTTTTCACCCAATCTATTTTTTTCCCTCAAACACCTCTCTTTCTCTGTTTCCATCATATACACAGCAAACAGAGTTATCTAAATGTCTCCTACCTATTTCATGGTGTAGCTGGCTTAATGCTTTAATGCAACTGTTCTGCTTGCAGAAGAGCCCAGCATGTGCTACTATTACGATGGTGATGGGGTGTGCGAGGACTTTGAGCGGGAGACAGGGGTAAGGGATTGTGGTCTCTACACGCCCAGTGGGTTTTTGGACCAGTGGGCCACCAGTGTGGAAGTGTCCCAAGAAGAGAAGCCCTACTGCTCTGGAGAGGTGGCTGCAGGATATCCTGCTGTGACTAAAGTAAGTTTTAAGACAATAGCAAACATAGTGTTACGCTTGTTCACGAGACTTGTGCATAAATATTACAAATCATTAATGCAACAACAAAGGTGTGTATGCGTCCAAAGATTAGAATGGAGAGGCATGCCCATGCAGCCATGAAGAGAGGACTTCTAGTGTAAAGAACACTCTGTTCAAACAAAACCAATGCTGTCAAGAACACAATGTTCCCTGAGGGTTATCTGTGATCACATCACCTCAAGGCCACAGCCTGCACACTCACACATTTAGATGGACACACATATATAAATATGCACATTATCTGCTTTGAACAATTATTGTTTTCTCATCATCATCAAAATTAAGAAAATGAATTAGAATTTTTGACAAAATATGTCTTATGTCAAAACATGGCATTGTTTAACATGTTTGAACTGCAGCTTAACGTTTTAGACACACACTGAATTCCACATCCAAAAAGGAAGTGGTTGCATCTTTGTTTTTCTCTAGAATCAGCTGTTAATGACTTTGGCTTATAACAGAACACCTCAGTAGTCTTTTAGCTGCCATGTAGGTGAGCTAGTAGTTGAGTTTCAGGGGCTTTCAGTTGAGGATTTTAATAATTTACTGTATTGCTGATTTTGTTCCATATGAGGAGTACAGGACAAGATCTGGTCTTGTTTTTTATCAGATAGTTTTACTTTTCCTGTTAACAAAAATAGTATGAAATGTATCTAATGTGTCATGCAGTGCTCCATTTTATAGAGAAATTAGGTTGGTTATGTCCAGTGCAGTAAATTTTGCTTATATATGCCATTGCACTGAGCATAAAATAGAAAAAACAAAGCAAGAAATTTATTACCAGAAAATGATGTTTCTGATCTGAGTTGTATTCATCTGTTGGTGTTTAAATTCAGTTTTTGAATAGTAACAATGTTAGAACAAGACCAAACCTGAAACGGCCCAATCCACATTGGTGTGCACATGTTTTATGTTTGGAGTCCCTGTGTGTCAGAACAGTACATCATTTCCTTCTGATCTGGTAAACAAAGCATGTATTGGCATCATGGATCAGGCCTGCTTGATCTCCAAAGTCACTGTTGACTTTGTCCATGAGTGTGTGGTGAGCGAGGCGGGCAGCCCAATGATAGGGATCTTTATGGATGCAAAAAACCAACAAGCACAGGGAGGCATTTGAGGAGAGGGTAGATCATATATCTGACTGAGAAATATGGCACTTTTTAAGTGTAGGCCATGTTAAACAATGCAGTGATATAACAAAGTGGGAAAACTAACATTGGGGAAACACTTATGTGGCTTGTCAAGAGTAGTTTTGAAGTTAAGGCGGTTATTCATTCATGTTTTTTCATGTTCATGTTTTTCAAGACATTTGCAACATAGACATGCCCCCTGAATGGAGATAGTGCATACATGCTACACAAAATGATGAATGTAATTTCCATGGCTTTTCAACTTACTTTTTTCTAAAGGTACTTCTTTTTCCAGTGAAGTTCATAAAAAGAAGGTGCGCAGACACACATGAGAACACACTCCATGCAGGATTATAGGGCAGGTCCATAGAGGACTGAAATGTACTACTGCTGTCTTTGTGGAGCAGAACATAATGTTCCGCCACTACCACACCATGGAATATGGTGAGCCACTTTGATTTGCTCTGGGGGGATTGGACTGGAGAAATGGTCCGGCTCTGTGTGTGCTCAGACTTTTTGCCTTTTTCAGTCCAGAGCATTTGTGCAGATGAGATGTGCTATTGTACTGCATGCACTATGCACATGAAACCTACACATCAAACAATGAGCAGGTCATTTCTCAAGAGGATGCTGCTGCCCGGGCAATCTCTGACGCAACCCCAGGCACCCTTGGAGAACACTCCTCTTAATTATACATAAGCAACAGAAGGGATAACATTTTACCTTCTCACGCCAGATGAAATTGCCTCACACATCTCAGAATATATGGCAAATGCACAGTATACAGGCATTGGTCACCTTTTGCATCATGTCAGCAGTGCTTTAGAGTTGAGCATTAGGAAGGCAAGGGAGGCTATAAAAACAAATCCAGTTAAAACATGGAAACAGCTTTCTCCAACTCAGTGTATAGGAAATCAGTGTATAGTAGGGTGTCAATGCTGGGGTTGTCAAAAATCTGTACCCAGATACTAATACCTCTGAAGTAGATGTTAATTTGAACAGTTTATAGGATTGATCTTAAACTTTTCAGAAGTAATATGACCATGTGGTGAAATTTAAGACAAAAATAAAAAATAAATTAAAACTACAAGCAGTGATCAAGGCCCCTCGCAACCTTTGCGACCGTGAAGGGCACACTTCATTGGGCGAAATGCCAACCCTGACTTCACCTGATTCAATATATACATGTGACATTATAGATAAATGTTTCCATCCCATGTTAACTTTGCAGGGGGTGCTGGAGGGCTATTTTAACAAAATTAAATCTAATTCACATCTCATTATTCCCGTGTCATTAAAATACACAAATGCTGCATTCTGTCTGTTCAGATTCAACAATGTTTGAAAAAGTTACAGGGATTTTTATGCTTTGTTAAGTCTCAGGGGTATGATCATAACAAGCTCTTATGTAAATTCTTGTAACAACTTTTGATCTTAGATATGTTCTGATGATGCTGCCTCAGTTTGGAGTTCTAGGACAAGTTTGTTAAAGTACGAGGTCAGCAAAATTTTATTTAAAATGGCTGCCTTCTATGGTTCCCATAGACTTTTTTGCTAAAGGGCATATAAATAATTTTTACCATTTAAAATGGATTGTTTATAGTTTACTATACTCTACTGCACACAGACAAACCTTAGAAGAGCTGGGATCTGACTGGTGACTTTTTGGTCAGTGGGCAACTGCTCTACCTGTGCTGCAATTGTACATAGACCGTATATATAAATGGACATAGCTAACACGCTAGTTCCAAATAGTAAGTGCACCAGTAGGCACTTCTAGCTCCTTCTGACCCTGGCTCCAATTGTCTTACATTGGGATCTTGTCTTCCCTCTCTCTGTACCTGCTGCAGTAAGCCTCGTCATTTTGGTCTTAAAATGTTTGTATTAACCCACTCTACATTATCCTGAAATTTTCATTTCACAATTTTGTTCCTAAATCAAGATATGAACATAAATAACGCACCAATCAGATGCCTTCATTCTCCAAGGTTGCTCTCGCTAGCGTTAGCAACAGGTTTGATTGACAGCTAGTGCGTTTCGTTGCTACGTAAGCCCCCTAACCGCTTTCTGGTGAGAAGGGCAGGCACATTTAACAATCTCAATCATGATTGGCTCTTGTGGCTCTTGTGGTTGCTATGATACTCTATACTGTTTAGGTTCTAAATTCGCTCCTGTAGCAACAGGAACTTCATTGAATGGAGCTGAATGCTATGGGTAAGGTCACACTCACTTAGTTTTTTACTGTCCAGATTCGGACAAACAGCTCCAAACGTGCTTTGGGGCTGTTTAACTCCAGTTGTACTTACCACCTCCTGTCCTGAAGTACTTGTTGTTGTTTTTTTAACTCCTGGAAGACTAAATTCATAAGTCTCTCCTGATAGGACAGGATGACTGGGTACTTCAGAACCTTCTGGAATGTCTGACCTTGATTTTTGTGTGGGTCTCTTAGGTGGAACTTTCAGTTTCACCTCCTTTCCATCCAGCATCTTCTGGAGTCTTTTGGATAATTTTGGGTTGTTAACAACAATTATTGGGATGTCTAATTTCTCCTCTGTTCCACTGGGGCTTTCACTTTTTGGACTCTGGATGGCTTAGCTTTTGTCTCCTCTGGTGTTGTAGTTCACTGAGGTTTGGGAGACAAACCTAATTTCTCCTTTTCTGTAGTTGATCCAGTCTGAGTCTCTTCTTTTGTGGAGCTTCTACTTTTTCAGCTTCACCCCTTTTTGTCTATCATCTTCTAGATTATTTTGGATAATTTATAAGTTTTATCATTACACACATACCATCACACATGATATATTCACATAATTTCTTCAAAAAGAAAACAACATTTTTACACAAGTTGAGATAGACACAAAATTGAACATTCATACAGTAGCTGAGCTGTTACTTGAAGTACTGTAAGGCCAGTTTCTTTTTCACCAACATTCCCTAAAACCACACAGTGCTCGTCAGGTGCCAGTGACATAAGCATGTGGGAGCATTAAGAAGAAGCCACTGGGCTGGGAGTCGTTTTTCCCTTTTACGTTTACTCTTTCAAGTACTGTCTTAATGTCACATGGAAACCTCATTGTGACTTGTGTTTTTAAAGGCACTCATGACCCCAATCAGCTGGCCAGCTTGTACATATGCATTGGTTTAGTCCTGTTTAATTACTGGATGAGACATGTTTAACTGTACAAACTCAATTGCTGTTTTTCCACTTGCTGCCACCATGCCCTCTCCAGATCTTATAGGTAATCTTGTGGTTTGTGAGCCCTACCGCTAAGATGTCTGCTGCTAGTTCTTGGAGTTGTGCATAGTTGGGGAGTTAGAAGTTGCCCATCATTGCTCTGATGACATAGGGTGCTTCAGTGGCTCTGGGTGAGGCTGGGTGTCAGGACATTACCTCACACACTCGGCGCTTACCAACATTCCAGTAAAAACCAAGAGAAGGTACTTGGAAACTCATACTAGATTTTCTTTCCTCTTACCAATCTCCTGTGCACTCTTATTTTAGCCTTGTACATTCAAACCTCAAATCTGCTTATATGCCTTCATCAGAGTAATAAAGTGCATATGGCAGGATAGACTACTTATTTCACTAAAACATAGTTATCATAATTCGATTATAAAGCTTTGTTGTCTGACAATTATAAAAGTTTATAAATTTACTTCCTGGTTGGACATGGGCAGCAGATGTAACTTATGTCATGAGGTAATTCTGTAACCAAGCAACCATACTGTAAACATGGACAAAGGCTTATCAAATCTACACAATAGTTATAGTTTGACAAAAAAAATATACAATAACACCATCATTTTCACAAATGTTAAAATTGTCAGAACAATGTGTTCCTTTTCCGTAAATATATGGCCCTGCTGGATGGAAATTAATGTACTGGCCTCCTGTATTTTTAAGGGGGTCTGCGTTTTCTGGTAGAGGATTTGAAAGCTTCTGTTCTTCATGGAGATGTTATTATTTTGCCTGGAATGTTCCACAAAATGTACAGATAATCTCATATTATGAAGCACACCAGGCAAAGTAATAACATCAAGACAAACAGGTGACAGACACTCTACCAGAAAAATTACACAGACCCTTTCTAATGTATTTTTTCTCAACATTTCTTTACAAGCATCTGCGTGAGTGTTGTTAACTATGATAAATATTAAAAAATACCATCAATAGCTTGTGCAGACTTAATAGCTGAATTGGAATTTATTGTTGTAAAATGTTGTATTTACAAAACCACTTCCACATAGTAGAGTACATTAGCTCATAAAAAGTTGTCAATAGACTCCAACTGCCCCACAGCCCTATGACAAAAACATGGTGTAAGACTTCCATTTAGACCTTCCCTGAATGAGTCCATCTAAAATAAACTTGGACACACTGCTAATTGATATTGCACTGAAGAATTTCAGTATATTCAGAACTTGCTAAATGGTGTAGACAAGCGGTTTGAGGGAAAATAGTTTTCCAAAAGAACATTCCAACACTCACAGTTGTTCAATTGTTAAAATCGAAAAGCATTTGAATGTATCTTCCAATGGCATATTGGATGTGGGACATTATGTTGTCATTGTGGCGTCTAAGTGTCTCTGTGTGTGCATAGTTCATAAGACATAAGAGAAAATCACAGTCTTCATTGATAAGAACAATTCTATAGACCACTGCATTTATTTATTTATTCTGTATCAAGACTAGCATTTTGAGACTCTTATGGTCCAGTAAAATAACCTAGCACCAAATCAGGTAGAGGGTCTCCTGGTTTCATTATGCATTTGTTTAAGCTCTGCAATCTGCTAAAATGATCTAATCTTACTGTAACACTGAACTGCTGTTGTCCAAGCTGCTCCAAAGTACATTATGCTATTAGAGCCATTATCAATGTCATTACTCTCCTGACTAAAAACTGCCCTTATTTTTTACTGTTTTCCGGTCTTTTGATGAATGTTTCCACTAAACATATAATACAATTTCAAGCTATTGGGTGTGACAGCTGGCATTTTCACTTTCTCCCTCACCTTTAGCAACTAGTATTTCCCCTTAGGCTTAGAGACACTTCCTTGTGCTTTTATCTGAAGTGGTGATTTACAAACACAGTGTGTGTCTGCAGACCAGGGTCGGCTGTTGTCTGCTGCGCTCTCTTGCCAACTGCTGCAAATTAAGTCCATGTGTTCCTCTGTGTGTGTGTGTGTTTCTGAATGCATCTCCTGCTAATACTTTTTTAAGAAGATACATGGTTTTCCCTCTCAATGAACATTAAATAGATACTTAGAACAGAGAGAAATATTTTCATTCCATTTAATATGAATTCTTCTTTTTGGAAAATAAGAAGAACTGAATCTATTAACGTGCCTTACATGTCTGAAGATATATGACATACTGCAATTCTCTAAAGTAATAATGTAATATGACATCAGCTAATTTGAACTTCACCTGTTAACACTTGTATATGGAAGAATAAGTGTAATTGCTGTCAGTTACACGGTAAAACTGCATATTCGCAATGTAAGCAAAGCCTTGAGACCTTGGGCAAAAATCTGCAATCAAGCAATTTGAAATGATGAAGCTATATTATGAATTCACACTAACTCCCCCTGTGTGAGCCTATACACCCCCCTCAGCAGACAAAAAAAAAGTCAGAAGACTGTCCGTTACCACCTGGCCAGATGACGCCCTCTCCCGACTGCAGGTTTGCTTTGAACAAACACAGTGGGAAGCCTTCCTTCATGAAGACCTGTCTACATTCACAGATACAGTGCTGTCTTACATCAAGTTCTGCATTGGTAGGCTCACTGCAGTAAAGATCATCCGGGTGTTCCCTAACCAAAAACCATGGATGAGTAGCCAGTTCCGCATGCTTCTCCGGGCTCGGGATGCAGCCTTCAGATCGGGTGACAGAGAATTATACAGCACCGCTTGCGCCAACCTGAGGAGAGGCATCAAGGCTGCTAAAGCAGACCAAAAGAGGAAGGTAGAGGAACAACTCAACAACCCCCAGCAGGTGTGGCAGAGCATACAGTCCATCACTAACTACAGAGGCTGTGCTGTGACATCAGGGGACTCAGATGTGGCACTGGCAGAGGAACTAAACAGCTTCTTTGCCTGCTTTGAATCCCATGCACAGCACTCAGTCACACCACTCCAACCCGCACTACAATCAATCTCGAACAACCCCCCCACTCACTGTTGAGGTGGAGGATGTGAGGCGAGCCGTTAATCCCAGAAAGGCTACAGGCCCGGATGGAGTACCAGGGAAAGTGCTCAAGGCATATGCTGACCAGCTAGCACAGGTCTTCACTGACATTTTTAACCCGTCACTGAGACAAGCAGTCATTCCAGCGTGCTTAAAACCTATCATCCCGGTCCCAAAAAAGGCATCCACAACCAACCTTAATGACTTCCGCCCCTTAGCACTTACTCCAGTCATCACATCAAAGCCTGCCCCTCCCCACTCTAGACCCGCATCAGTTTGCATACCGGTTAAACAGATCGACGGAAGATGCAATAGTCATCGCTCTCCACTCTGCACTGAACCACTTGGAGAAACGGGAGAGCTATGTCAGGATGCTCTTCATTGACTACAGCTCAGCTTTCAACACAATAATACCAGACATCTTGATGCCCAAGTTAGCTAACCTGGGGCTCTCACCATCCACTCGCTCCTGGATCAAGGACTTTCTGGTCAATCGACTCCAGCAGGTGAAACTGGGTCCCCACCTATCGACCATTCGCACTCGTAGCACCGGCTTCCCCCAGGACTGTGTGCTGAGCCCACTCCTCTACTTGCTCTACACTCACAACTGCAGTACCACCCGCCCAGAGAACATCATTGTCAAATTTGCTGATGACATGAGAGGGTGACCAACACTGCACAGGACATTATTGGCTACCCTCTGCCTTCCTTAAGAACATTATACAACTCCCGCTGTCTCAGCAGAGCGAAGAAAATCATTAAGGACAATACACACCCTGGATTCCACCTCTTCAACCTGTTGCCTTCTGGCAGGCACTTCAGGTTAATTCCAACGAGGACCAACAGACTCAGGGACAGCTTCTTCCCCAAAGCTGTCACCATACTCAATGGGAACTGTTGATTTGTTTTATTTATTAATTAATTAATTCTTGCACTTTGACGGAGCAACTCTGAATTTCATTATACTATTGTATAATGACAATAAAGGCTTTCTATTCTATTCTTTATTGATAGTGTTTGCTTCTGGTTTAACATGAACTGTGAGCCTAAAATCACTGGGGAGATATGGCAAGAATGAGGAGGAGAGGTGTGGATGAAGGTGTAGTTAGTGCCACCTTTGTGGCATGAATAAATGATTAATTTATACAAGAGCTTCCATCAGATTAGCATAATTTTGTTGCAGCTCAGCTTCTGAAAATACTGCAACTAACTGACAATTTGTACCTCATAATATTACAGATTGTTTACAAAAAAGACATTCAAATGGAAGCTACACTCTCATGTACCTGACTTAGACTCAAAAGCCCAATACGAATATAGTGGTTTATATTTTTATATACTGTGCTGGTTACGGTGCTCAATAGTCTTGCCCACAAAGGCCACGCTGGTTCTGAAAATAAAAATTTCCAATGAATTATGCTCCTTACATATACATACATCACAGAGGCCATCAGCCTCATGAAGGTTGTCTCATATTGTTTGGTCTGACACAATCACATCAACCTCTCACTGAGGCCTCCTCACACACAGGAGCACATACCAGTCCTGTTGATGTGCTCTAAACCATATAAGGCCCAGATCTCCTAGAATACCTGCTTGTTTTCTGGAATCTCCTTGTGCCAATGAACCACAATAAACCTGTCAGCACTGGCAGTCACATAACTGTGCACATCATTATTCCAGAAGTTATTCCAGAAGTAACCTGATGTCTTTGTGTGGTTAATTATTATTATATATTTATATATATGTTTACAACTACACAATCCCAGGCAGAGGCATGCACCTAGCTTCTGTCAGGTGTTTGTTAATTCACCTGCATTTCTAAAATGCCTACTCAGCTTAGAGAAGAAAGGTCAAGTCAACAGATCCAGGGGACAGATATATGGACAGATCGCTGCTCTGACCAGTTTTCCATTGTGGCAGGATCTTACAGTAGCTTCTCCAGCAGAACTCTCATGTTACTGGTGTCTCATTTCACTTGCTCAGGGCAGCGGGCGAAACTCGCTGTCCTTGGGCATTTACCCTCCCTCACCTTTGACTGTCTTAATTTTTTTGTGTAGTATATTTTAACTGCTGATGACATGAGGTCTGCATTCAGAATACGCCTCAAACAGTGATATGTAGAAAATATCTGGTTTGGTTATTGAATGCTCATCCATTTTGAATTTGTTATGCAAGTGCCATCAACAGTATTGTTCTGGTTATGTGTAGAGAAGACAGACAGACAGACAGACAGACAGACTGATGTCACAGTGCTATATTTAGTGGACAAATAAATAATAAATAAAGAAATAAAACATAAATTACAGCATATCAACAGAAATATCTTACAATTTCAGAAAACAATTTGTTGTGAAAATGTTTTAATTGTGACCATTTTATTTTCTTTTTATATTTTTTTAAATATTTGCTTTAATATTTGTATGTTTTCTGCTGCCCAGACATGCCAGTCGAAGGTGTTTGACTTGTCAGATGGTGTCTCACAGTACGCATGGTTTCCCTGCCATGGTGGCAGTCAGACACACTGGGGACACTCCAACTACTGGCTCAAGGTAGGACCATGCAAATATTACTATTGTGTGCTGTTTTGAGTGGGACAAACACTGTTTTTTGCAAGATGATAATATCTGCATCCTTGCCGACTTTACTCTCCCCTCCTTGCTACACAACATCCATGTCACTGGGAAAAGGCACATTTTTGCTGCTGGACAGTATTCACATGTACACTCTAATGCTATTTATCTAAAATACAATTTATACATCTTGAAATCATCTTGCAACCACCAGCTTCATAACCCCCAGGGGACAACCCACCTCCACCCTGACTAGAAATATGATTATTTTTGTCAATGTGTTCTTCCATGCAGGCTCACTTTTCACATCCAATGGTGGCAGCAGCAGTAATCATTCACCTTGCAGCGGATGGGACCAGTTACATAGACCAGACACAGTGCAACATCACAGTGCAGCTTGTGGATACCAATGAGGGCAACCACAGTCTAGGTATAACCACATAGACAAAATCAATAGTTGTGTGCACAATAACAAATTTATTTAGCCTTAAAAGGATGACATCATGGTGCCTGTTCACAGGAGAGTGGCGCCTCAGCTGCCGCACTAACCCACTGGTGATCCCTGTGAGCCATGACTTGTCCATGGCGTTCTACCACACAAAGGCCATCCGGGTCATGTTTAATTCCCACCTTGTGGCCATCTCAGGTGTGGGCATGCGCTCTTTTCAATCCTTCGATCCCATCACTATAAGTGGCTGCCAGAGCAACGAGATCTATAACCCCACTGGCCAGAGGTAAGGCTGAATACACACACAGAGCCACTTTATTCAACTAATAAATTAATGCTCAAGGACCAATATCAAACATATAATAATTAGAATTCATGGGTAGTCAAGTACACTCAATTACCACACCACGTTATGCATGAGCCACCACAGATGCTTCATATCTTTCAATAGTGTTGGAAATTGTTATGACTGTTGGATGAGGAAGTCTGTGTTCAGAGATAGCTCAAATGTGTATCTTTTATGTCCTGTATGTTTCTTAAAAAACTTGATGATGAGATACCTTAAAAAACAAAGGAAGAAAATCTCAGATAAACTCAATAAAGTATAACCTTGTGTTTTATTATTTATTTTTAATTCACCAGTCAACTGCTGTGCTGACTAAATGAGGGAAACCTATCTTGCAGACTGGACTGTTGTAAAAAGAGGCCCTAGGCTTTCAAACATTCCAAGTGCATTAATTGAGGTTACTAACATAGAGCTATGTCTGTCTTTGTAAATGCAACTTACAAGTAGTGTTCAGTCATCTTTATTAAAATGTACCCCCGGATTTTTAACTATGTTAGCCCTCTCTGTGCGTGGCTTTATATGCTAGGCACTCATTGATCGATTGATTTTTATTTTTATATGAACATATGTGTCAAGCATCTGCAGTAGTATGTATTTTAACCACAAATGTCTAATTTATTATTTGCATGTATCCTTTCCCTTTCTTCCTTTCCTCTCTCTATTTCTATCCCTATTTAGTTGTGTACATTATTCGTGCGAAGCCATTGACTGCCAGGAACCTTTAATCCGCAATGCAGAGCTTAAGTGCAGTAGCTCCAGTCGCCACTTCTTCAATGGAGACCGCTGCACCATCTCTTGCAACTCTGGCTATGTCCTACAAGTCCACCAGGATGATGACATCATCAAGAGCCAGGTATCACACCATGACCTGTCAGTGCATTCATGTTAGTAGTCACACAGAAAAAGGTTAGTTGGCATCATAACAGACTACATAAATAATGACGCATGTGCATGGAAATGCACATTTGATTTGAATCTATATTTATGCCCGCACAAATCAACCCCAGACAAGCAGAGTGTGAACTCAGGGTTAGGTACCTTGTTTCCTCTGGTTTCCATTTATTGATTCACCTCCAAAAATTACTTGATAGTTAAAGTGCTCTGGAACATGAGATCATTAAGATTCAGGTGTACAATTAAGTGCATTCTTTTCCTCTTTCTGCTGCATACAAACAAATCTAATGTAAGTGAAGACCCAAAGTATTAATCTGTAGGTGGGTACGTTGCACCATCACCTCACCATAGTCACTTTGAATCTCTACTCTGCTGGGACCATGACATCATCGCAGACTGTCCTCTCCCCTCCCCCTCCCACGCTACACTCATCTAAGTCACTGAGAAAGGGCACGCATTTGCTGCTGTTTTCTTACAGCATGCAGCATCTACACATCCACTCAATGCTATTTATCTAAAATACAATTTCTAAATGGGTTCATGTGTCATACCCTATGGACTCCAATGCTCACAATGAATAACAAAGAACTAGCATGCCCAGGCTACAGAATATTTTTACTTATATGTTTAAGCATGAAAAAAGGAAAAAAAAAAAAGAAAAGAAAACTACTTGCATTAGTATGGTTATTGTAGCGACACTGGCAGCACCTAGACTGTCTGGTTAGCACTCTTACCTCACAGCGAGAAGGTCTGACTTCTGGTCTGGGTGGGGCCTTGCTGTGGGGAGTTTGCATGATCTTCTCTGGCTTGCTTTCCTCTGGGCTCTGTTTTCTGCCATTAACCTAAAACTTGCATAATAGTCAGAATAGGGTATCCTGACCAAGGCTTCTTCAGGACTTCGAGGTGGGCCCCAGTGCCCACTGATCCTGACAGGTTGCCACAACAATACTGAAAGACTGATCAAATGCAGAGAAAAAATCCCCTTATTGGGATCTGCTAATCTTAATTATAGTACATCTTAGTCCTCCTGAATTGAGGAGCGAGAACATACTTTTTGATCAACAAAATAGTAGTTTTATAAGACCTGTTAGTTGCAAGATGTTTGATATTTGAAAAAGACATGACATTGAGCAGTCATAATGCATGTTCCTGCTTTAGCACAATAATAAAGGCTTCTGGGTGCACCACCTGATTAGATAAAGATATCTGCTCAGGAAATCTCTACACTTGTTTGAGTCACGTCCAGAAGAGTGCATCTATCTTATTGTTTGTTTTCAACCCAGCCGGAGATCGCTACTTGCACTGATGCTCACATGAGTGCATGTTCTTGATCCTACATGACTTTGTCAAGACATTTCTAGACCTGTTTTCCTCTTCTTTTTTTATTCTGAGACTTCTGAGAAAGACAATTTGAAGATAACACACTACGTATGTTGTGTTTTCTACTAGAAAATTGTGTTCTATGTGTCACTTATTCTAAGTAAAAGGCAGTTCCATGGAGACTAGAAAACAATAAATCATACTTTATTCTTTTGCCTTTCTGTAATAGCTTACCAGTGTATGTGATTATGGTTTGTAAGTGTGCATGCAGTGCTAGTGAATGTCACTCGCTGACAGCCAAATCCACAGATTGAAGAAATATGCTCACACCCCATTGCTCCATTTGTCTTTTAGTCCTTCAGATTTCTTTTTTTTTTTTTTTTTACTGTAAGCTATAATATTTTTGCAAATTGCACTTTTGTGTTATGCAGTTAAATTAAAACTGATAGCTAATAGAAATAGAATTTCCCAAAATGAACATAGTTACACATACACATATGAAAGTAGCTTTTTTTTAAAAAAAATAATGGAACAGAATGTAAACATCTAAGGTTTATGTGGACAATTATGCAAATGTTCTCTCCTACATGTCGTGTGATTACAAATGTATATTGTATAGTATAATATAGTATAAATAGTATATACTATATGTACTATATAGTATATAGTATAGTAAGGCAGCACATTGAAAACAAAAAAACAAACAAACAAAAAAACAAAAAAAACAAAAAACAAACAAACACGTAATTATGTACTTGCAAACTCAAAACACCATGCATGTTTTTCACTTGTCACAGAAGTCACATCTTCTTGTAACATTCATATCTGCTGTTTTTAATTATGAATGACGTCCATGGTAGGGTTATAATTGACAAGATACTAATGTATTAAGGAAGAGCCCATCACACTTCTGTTGTCTACATTATACAATATGTCCATCACACATTCTGCCTACAGAGCATTCTGTAACTAACCCTAACAAGTAATGCATTCCCACTCCTTTACTTTTGTGTCCATGTAGCAAAATGTAAATCATCTGCTACTGCCCCATATCAGAATTATTTTAGAGTAGATTCCCCATCCATTTCAAAACATGTCTCACAAAGCCGTTTCTTTGCAGCTCAATACAAAAATAGAACAGTAAAGGGATCCCATTGCAGACTGTGGTATTTCAGTGGTTGTCCCCTGCGACAGTGTGTGTATTTTATACGCTGTCACACTTCAACTAAAGTCAATGTGTTTTGTGTTAGAGCTGATCGTGCATTTGTTGGATATCAGTTGTCTAAGTGGCATGACTTGACCTTACAAATGCTATCAGCAGTTACTTGATCTGTTGAGGAGCCCACGTAGCTTACTGACATACAGTAAGCTTAAGCCTGAGCAAGCTTTGTTGGGTTACACACTGATCGCGCACTTGTAGGACTGCTGAGTGCTGAATTGCTTTCTTCAGTTGTGTCTAGTGTCTATAGGAGGCACTTTTTCACAAACTATGATATTCATAATAAGAACCACTTTCACTTTTGGTTGTTTATGTGATATTCATTAGCATACGCTTTCTGTGCTGTAAAACACTTTAAATTACTTTGTGTAATACATGTAATACAACAAATACATTTTGCTTGTCCTTGAGCAGTCGGATTCATCGGTGACCATTACCTGTGCAAATGGGAAGTGGAACAAACAGGTGTCATGTGAACCTGTGGACTGTGGCATGCCAGACAAGTATCATGTACATCCTGCCAACTTCATGTACCCCGAAGGCACCACCTACGGCAAGAAAATAACTTTCCAGTGCCGTGAGCCTGCACAGCTTATTGGTAAGACTCATCTGTTCAATTCTCACCCGCAGAATAAGTTATTAAAGATAAAACACTGAGGTCTAAAAATATTAAATTTTCTTTGCAAAACGTACACACTAATTCTCTTGGAACTGATGCACTTTTTCTGACAGGTACCAACAACACTTTGACTTGTCTAGAGGATGGTTTGTGGTCCTTCCCAGAGGCCCTGTGTGAACTGCGCTGTCCAGCTCCTCCTCCTGTACCCAACGCTGTGCTGCAAACAAAACGTTGCAATGAAAGTGGTCTAAAAGTGGGTACCCTCTGCAAGTACAAGTGTAAACCGGGCTACCATGTCACTAACAAACCCAAAAGGTCAGATTCAAATATTGCCAAATATATTAAAACTTTAAATGTATTTGTGCTGTTTCCCAAGCATTAACACAGAAACTGTCCCACTTCAGACGAGCCTTTAAACGGCAGTGCACAGAGGACGGCAGTTGGCTGGAGGGTGCATGTGAGCCAGTGACCTGTGATCCTCCTCCTCCCATCTTTCATGGGTCCTATTACTGCACGGACGGTTTCCGCTTTGACAGCGTTTGTAGACTCAACTGTACCGATCCTGCCGGTAAAAGTGCCAGTGCCGCTGCAGGAGGCTCCGCCCATACGGTGAGGCTGCTGCACGCTCCATGCAAGCAGGTCTGTCCATCTATTTCCTGTCTCTCTCTGCCTGCTTGAACTATTACACATTATGCATGACTTTATAACTTTATAGACCATTAATTCAAATTTTGTGGGCAGAAATAGAATTAAGTGGATATTACAGTATTATCTGATTCTAATGCCCAACTCGTCTTATTCAGAAAGCTAGTCTGCCCTCTCTGTTTGGCTGGACCTTTTGTTTCTGTGCCTGTCTTCTCTAGACCTACTCAATTTGACGCCATTATAATTAGATTTATATGGATCTCCAGAACAGCCCTGTCGCTGACTTTTGTAATGTATACACCTTTTAATCTGCTTTGCCTCTCAGGCATTGAGGTTTGGATGCTGAATAATAATTGGATTGTATTTCCCCCTCTCTAGCGGGATACCTTCTCAGTGTCCTTGGCTTCCTTGGTTGTTTGTGTGTATGTGTGTGTGTGGACAGCTAAATGGTCATTTGCCAACGAGTGTCTTCTTTTGCAGAGCACCACTTCCAATATGATAAGATGTAGAAAAGATGGAAACTGGACAGGGTCGTTCCGCCTCTGCCCACACAGCAAAGGTCAATGTTCTTTACCTCAAAACCTCCACCACAATCTTCAGTACTCTTGCAAACGAGGGCATGGTATAGGTATGATGGATTTATGATTTATTTTCACTATTTTAGTTGAAACCTCTTCTGTCAATATGTTTACCAGATTAAGTGCTACACACATTATATTGTAGAGGAAAGGCTCTTTACTTTATTATATTGCACAGAAATTTGTCCAATATAACAAAGTAAAGGGCCTTTGTGTAAACTTGAATCTTTTATTTGCATGTCTTGTCTGTGAGTATTCTAAGTTTCATACTTTATTCATATACAGGATATTTGTTTTTCTTCTCTCATGCACTCAGGTGAAGAGTGCGAGCTGTCATGCCGAGAGAGCACAAATGAAGTGGTGATCCTCCCTAGCAACATGACTGTGGACAATGTGCTGAAGGAGCACTGGAGGAACCCACCCAAAGTCAAGGTGGGCTCTTTTGATGTTTGTGCACCTCACCGTTCTGACAGACGCACTTCACAAATTTCTGCCATGCACAACTCGTCTCTATGGAATTTCACAGGCCCTTTCCACATCCTTGCTCTATTATTTCCAATAGAAAAGTCCAACTGCTGTCCTTTCATCCTTTCTGTTGGCAATAATGTTTATGATACACTGCAGAAGTGAGACATTACCAATATGAGACATCCATTAAACTGTTCAGGTAATATTTAAAGACCCTAACATTTAATGTGATAGGTCCATGTAAGACATACACTGAGGTGAAATTTGACATCCCATATTGATTGCTTATTTATAGAAAACATGCAATGCATCAGTCAATAAATATCACTTTTTGATCTACTACACACATTAATTATGATCTTTTTTGTGTTTGCTGTTCTAATAATTGTCCAAACCTAAGAGAGACAGACAGGAGACAATATAATGAGAAAGGAATTGAAAAGTGTTTTCTTGCTGTTTCTCCCGGTGCCAATGCTTTTGTTTTGGTTTCATAGTCACACTGAGTCAGCAGCTTTTTGCGGTGGGTGATTGGTGAGGGATGGGCTTGGCGATGTGGACATGAAATTATCTGTTTTTCATAGATATGTGCACTTGATACAGTTTGTGCTGGGTGGTAATTTGAGACTTCAGCCCGTGTTGCGGATAGCTCCTGAAGTCAGAGGACTCAGGGCAGTGAGGGGAGGATATACTATATCAACTTTGGGGATTGGATAAGAGAGAATCATTGGGGGTTGCACTTAACCATACATTCTATCCGTCAACTTATAGCATTATAAAGAGAACAGCCTGTGCCCAGTATCATGTAGATTGATACATATTCAATACAACAGACTTTGGAGTTTGTTTGTTGCTGTGCTATGGTGTATACTGAGCATACTGACCCAGAAAAAAAGGCTTACCCTTTGTATTTTCTCTCAATACAATGTATTTAGTGATTATATCTCTTCTCTTTCTTTCTTTTCCTATCTTTCTTTCTTTCTGTTTTTTCCCTTGCCTTCATTTGCAGATTAAACTAGTTAAACTAAAAACAAGTTCAAAAGTTTCCAGCTCCACTTTACTGTGTTGAAGGTTAATAAGCAATGTTGATTAATGGTCTTCAAACCAGTGGTACTATAGTGCCACTGGTTTGTGTGACCTACTTAGAATTTTCTGACTTAGATATCTTTGCCACTTGTTTCATGTCCCAATATCTAATGATCCCCCAGCATCCTCCTCCCTTTTATCAGCTGAATGACTCTTTTGGGCTTGCTGTGGAATTAGTCATTTTCTATATGACATGACCTGGTCTGCTGTGGCGCTCAGATAGATCTATTTTTATGTGTTATGAGAGCCCTGGGGAGACTTCTGAGGGTGAGAATCCCATATGTATGAAGGGTGAAGCCAGGCCACCTTCATGGATTCATGATTTACGGCCATGCGAAGAGAAAAAAAAAGATGGTGAGAACAGAGAACAGAAGAGGAGGGGTAAGAGAAGAGATTCTAGATGACATCATCATAGCCATAGAACTATTAGATCAGAAAGAAATATCTGTATTAAATATATATTGCAAACCTAATTTAATTCTGTCTCTATCAAATGCTTCTCATGTCTTTTTTACTTTGATTTGCTGACTGGACTGAAATGAAAAATACCTGAGTTTGCAGTACCAAAAAGCACATTTCAATTTTGTGACATATTGAGACAAAGGGGGTCTAAGAAGTGGACCAACTGAGGTCGGCCTCCGGTGTATACATAATACACAAAATCTCAACCAGATCTGATGACAGGGCAGAGCATAATGGGCTTCTTGCCAGATGCCTTTCCTGTCACGTGGACAATGTGGGTAAGGTGACATAACAGGGGAATAACAGTTTGTGCTCTGTTGAGGAACAATCCGATGGGCACTAGTGCTCATTTACCCTGGTTGCCATTTATACTTTTGCTTCCTTTGTGTATTTTTGTGTCCTTTTCATTGTTTGTCAAAAAACGAATAATTTTTGGTCAAATTTAAAATTGTATAATTTATTTGGCTAGTGAAACTGTGCGGCCATCACAGAGTTTTGAATGAATAGGTAACATTGGCCTATAGTGTGTCCGTAAGTAACAGTTTGTACAAAACAAATGTCTAATATTATTTACTTGTGTGATATATTTGTCTACAGAATATAGTGTGTACAATGGGACTGAAGTGGTATCCACACCCAGAATTGCTCCACTGCATCAAGGGATGTGAGGTAAGAGCTCTATAAATTAGCTTGGTTTTGTATATGCCTTGTCTCATTCATCACAACGACTTTAATCTCCAAACTTACTTTGATCTTCGTTTCACTAACTACACATAATAATGAGCACACATTAATAATGGTTAATAATTTGTATCATGCTGGTCCCCATTTGTAAATATTTCCCAACTCACACATACTTGGAAACCAATGAATCAGAGGCATAATAACCTCCAAATGCATCTTGATACAATTGTATTTACTTTGTTGTGCCAGTTGACATTATATATTGGATTTTACATTACCTCATTGTCTCTTTTTACAATGGGATGAATAAAAATGTATTGTATTATTACTTCTCTGCATTGTCTCGTAATATTATCTGTGTATGATGATATAACTTTATAGTTCTAAAATGTGTGTGAACATTTTACACTACTTTATAGAAAAAAATAATGTCATCTGGTGAGTGGGACCCACTGGATGACTTGATTGGTGACCTTAGTGCAGAGGGTGGGGCAAGCCATAAATCACATTATTGGAGTGTTTTGTGGAGTGAATAGTTTATGGTGTCCTTAGTTTGATTTACACTTCTGGCCCACACTCACAGTCAGATGAGGAAATGTAATGCATGGGATTAATCAGCAAAATTTGCTCATTTTTAGATGCTGAAGTGCACAAAAAGTTACTGCTTACACTTTTGGGGTCCTTTTTGGTTTTCACCATACATTCTGTTACATCCTAGCCCTTCATGGGAGACAACTACTGTGATGCTGTAAACAACAGAGCATTCTGTAACTACGATGGAGGAGACTGCTGCCAGTCCACAGTGAAGACCAAGAAGGTCAGTCACACAGTTTATCTCTCAATTTATAACCTACTTACTTTACTACTCTAATCATCTTTCTCCTAAATGTAACTACATCCTGTTTGAGTCTCATTGCTTACTTGATGTAATACTTGAGGCCCTTTATGGATCCTTGACATTTTACAGTAACACTTTCATTCCACATAAAATATGTTGAATAGACTTTAACAGACTACACCAAACGGTGCAGGTATGGTAAACAAGCTGCCTCTGGCGGTATGTGGGGTTCTCTGTAGAGACAAATCTACAAAGATTTTTGTCCTCCTATGGGCTAATAATTATATCGAACCATCTTATCCAGGGTTTATGTACAGTATTAAACCATGTTGAGCTTTATGCTTGATATAGTTTGGGTTTTGATCTGTTGGTATCGGGAAAGCCAAATATTATCTTTGGTGGTACTTGGTGTGAAAAGTTTGAGAACCACTGGATTACACAGTTCATGGTGTGTCATTTTGGATGAGTTTGAACCATAATCTTTTATCTTACTGGAAAATTCATTACACTGAATTGGAGTCATCAGACTTCAGTACTTATTTGCTATTCTGCAAGATTTCTTTAGACTTTTCAGCTCAGTTTCAATATTTGATCAAAGTATAGTGATATGATATGAAAACTATTATTTCTTACATATCTTGAGAGGGCCTGGCATAGGGCAGCAGTTGCTAGGCTAGAGATCTGAATGTGACTCATAGCACATTAGCAGCTTTGGGCCAGTGTTTCAGAGTGTGGCAGTGGGCTTTAGCCGTGCTCTTGGCATATCTATGTGTACGTCTGCCTGGATTTATGGTGCAGTCTGTGTGCCTCACTGGCTCTGTCAATGTGTCTGACTCCAGAGCATTTTCATTTCCTCAAGTGCTAAATGGGACACAAGGCTTGCACAGTCATAGATACTGTTTCCACTCACCAAAGTTTTTTTTTTACACTGAGCTGGTACTATTAAAGGGAAAATACTTAATACTTAAAAAGGTCTTGGTGAGTTACAGTAAGTATTGGCTTCTGTGACGACAATAAATTTGACTTGAATAGCAAATTTGATTACTTCCGTAAGTCTGCTCTGTCTCAGTGCTGCTAGAATCCAAGTTGCAAAAGTAATTATGTGTTCTGTGGTATTGTATTTATGCTACATTTATTACAATCAAGTGTGGTATAATAACATTATTCAATCCCACTTAACATTTGGTAAACATAACCAACATTTTAGGTTGAAATGGACCAGAGACCTGACATTTCTTCTTGCACTATTTCTGTATCAGATAGAGGCTATTGTCAGTTGAAAAGCAAAAGGAAAGTGAGGGACTAGTCCAGTGGGAAGTGACCTCACTTCTGAGTGATTTCAGTGCTGGTGACTGACACTATCTCATGTCTTCATCTGCTGGCCCCAGTCCAGCCCCTGGCCCAGTCAAAATGTGCATAACTCACTCTCACTGACAGACCCCACTGAGCGCATCCACACCTTGAGACACTGCATCAACAAAAAGGTTGATTTAGGTAAGAAACTGTGTTATTTATGTTCCAGCCTTACTCTATAGGAATATCAGTGAGGGTGTTTCTCACCTTCCACAGTGGTTGGTCTCTCCCACCCTCATCCAGCTTGACAGTTCTGGTATATATATATGTATATATATATATATACACCATGCTGTACTCAGCATTTACATGTCAACCTTTTGGCTACACATATATATATATATATATATATATATATATATATATATATATATATATATATATATATATATATATATATATATATATATATATATATATTATATACATACATACATACACATATACATACATACACATATACACACACACACACACACACACATATATATATATATATATATATATATATATATATTATATAATATACATATATACATACATACATACATATATATATATATATATATACATAACACATTATACATACATACACATATACACACACACACACACACACACACACACACACACACACACATACATATATATATATATATATATATATATATATATATATATATATATATATATATATGTAGCCAAAAGGTTGACATGTAAATGCTGAGTACAGTGAACATTTATACAGTAACATGTTATAGGTTTATCAAAGTAAAGTTGTTTGTTTGCCCTTTGGTCAACTTGGCCATTTCTCAGAATTCAACTTTCAAGACTGTCCATTCATTTGTCCCATACACAAAATGAATGGAGGTCAATGGGACATGTTCACGTGGCCTTACCCTGAGTTTTGTGTAACAGTGATGGATGTCGGACACACATATAAAGTTTAATTTAATTTATTTTTAAACACAAGGGGTAATACTTACACGCTTAAAAGAACAAACCACCCCTAGTGGCTAACTCACTGGCGATTAACAGAGCCTGATGGCTGACACTAACTAAACCTATCCATCCATCATTTTCTTCTGCTTTATGTGGGGCCAGGTCACAGAGGCAGCAGTCTGGGCAGGGAGGCTCAGAATTCTCTTTCCACGCACACTTCCTCCAGCTTGCGCGGGGGTTCCCCAGGTGTTCACAGGCCATTCCAGAGACATAGTCCCTTACATTTTGCGGATCTTCCCTGGGGCCTCCTCTCAACGGGACGTGCACGGAACACCTCACCGCATCCAGGAGGCTTTCGTAACAGATGCCCAAGCCACCTCAACTAGCTCCTCTGGACGTGGAGGAGCCACGGCTCTACTCCGAGCTCCTCCGGTGTGACTGAGCTTCTATTGCACTAACTAAATTTCAAACTTAATTGCTCAGTCTGTACCAGAATCTGCTCCACTGAGCAACATCACCAGGGAGAAAGAGAGAGGAAATGGAACCTGAACTCTAAACCTAGCCAGTGTGTCTC